TATATTGATAGGAACCTGTAATGCTTAACTTTGGTTTTAGGGCCGGGTACCCCCGGAGGCACTTTTGGTGGGGACAGAAGTGGTGCTAGGGCTGGTGTCCAGTAAGTAACCCAAAAATAAGTTGATTTTTCGTCTTGAAGGAAGTGGTGTTAACCCCGGTGCTCTAACGGGTGTCTCGTTTTTCTTGGAAGTCGAAGAAGTGAAGTTAAGGTCCATGCCGAGCATTGGATTCAATTTTTGTGGTTGAGGAAGCGGTGCCGAAGTTGCTCTTCCAAAAGCTTTTTTTTTTAAGGTGAAACGCTCACTGTTTATGTGTGGGCACGTTTCCTGCAGCTCTTTCGCGGCTGGATTGGCCTCTGTTTCCCAATTTGTATAGGACCCCGTTTGCTGAAAGATACCCCAAGTTTGGTCTATAGACGGTCTTGTCGTTCCACACTTCGGTTTGCTCGCGTCGGAAGCGCGTCGGAAGCGTGTCGGAAGCGTGTCGGAAGCGCGTCGGAAGCGCGTCGAAACCGCGTCGGAACCGAGTCGGAACCGCGTCGGAATTAACCGAGTCGGAACCGAGCCGGAACCGCGTCGGGAAGATGTTGGCCCCAGAATGTGCCTCCATATATGCTATAGGTGGCCTGTGTTATGTCGGCATTTGGTGGTGCTCTCGGGGTCAGGAACGGGGAGCCTGATGGAATGCCCGATTCGTTTTCTTCGCCCGCCCAAACATCTGCAGTTACTAATGGGGCGACTTTGCTGCGGTCATTACTTGCCCCGCGTCCTGTTTGACACCACCCCATGCACAAGTAGTGTATAGGTTTACTAAGCATTATAGAGGCCCCTTCTGGAGCCAACACGTTCCCGACGCGGTTCCGGCTCAGTTCCGACTCGGTTCCGACTCGGTTCCGACGCGGTTCCGACTCGGTTCCGACTCGGTTCCGACTCGGTTCCGACTCGGTTCCGACTCGGTTCCGACTCGGTTCCGACTCGGTTCCGACTCGGTTCCGACGCGGTTCCGACGCGGTTCCCACGCGGTTCCGTGTCGGTTTCGACTCGGTTCCGACTCGGTTCCGACGCAGTTCCGACGCGGTTCCGACGCGTTTCCGACTCGGTTCCGACTCGGTCCCGACTCGGTTCCGACTCGGTTCCGACTCGGTTCCGACTCGGTTCCGACGCGGTTCCGACGCGGTTTCGTCGGAGCCGCCTCGGAGCCGCGTCGGAACCTATATTGTAACCAGATCGGAAAGTGCAATGGGACCGCGTGAATCTGAATGGTGATTTTCGCATGGAAATGCGATCTTCGGACAAATGAAAACGTGTTTGCTTTGACAACACAATAAAATTATGGCCATATTTCATTACTATTTGCATCAGAATCAACACCCGGGAAATCAATTGGCATCAGAGAGGAACAAATGCTTTTCTGGATATGTTGGGTCTCGGGACCATTAGTATTAAAATGTTTGCGACGGGGATGATGTTCGGTTTTTATTATTCAATTTTCAATGGAATTTGAACTTGGATCGTCCAGACTACGCACCACCAGTTGCACCACTACATAGGCCCCCCCCCTGCCCAGCAAACAGGGGGTAAGTTAAGCATAATAGGGGCTTAGCAATATATATATATATATAAACAATGAAATGCATACATATACACTTATAGATAGATAGATAGATAAGATTAAAACACATTAGATAAGATTAGATATATATTAGATGGATTAGATAGAGTAGATAGATTAGATAGATTAAATAGATTAGATAGATTAGATAGATTAGATAGATTAGACAGATTAGATAGATTAGATAGATTAGATAGATTAGAACGATTAGAACGATTAGAACGATTAGAACGATTAGAACGATTAGAACGGTTAAAGCGATTAGAACGATTAGAACGATTAGAACGATTAGAACGATTAGAACGATTAGATAGATTAGATAGATTAGATGGATTAGATAGAGTAGATGGATTAGATAGATTAGGTAGATAGGATAGATAGGATAGGATAGGATAGGATAGGATAGATAGATAGATAGATAGAAAGATAGATAGTTAGGTAGGTAGGTAGGGAGAGAGATAGATAGATAGGTAGATAGATAGGTAGATAGATAGATAAAAAGAAAGATAGATAGATAGCTAGATAGATAGATAGATAGATAGATAGATAGAACGAAAGAACGAAAGAACGAAAGAACGAAAGAACGAAAGAACGAAAGAAGGAAGAACGAAAGAACAAAAGAACGAAAGAACGAAAGAACGAAATAACGAAAAAACGAAAGAACGAAAGAACGAAAGAACGAAAGAACGAAAGAACGACGAACGAAAGAACGAAAGAACGAAAGAACCAAAGAACGAAAGAACGAAAGAACGAAAGAACGAAAGAACGAAAGAACGAAAGAAAGAAAGAAAGAAAGAAAGAAAGAAAGAAAGATAGATAGATAGATAGATAGGCAGGACAGGCAGGACAGGCAGGACAGGCAGGACAGGCAGGACAGGCAGGACAGGCAGGACAGGCAGGACAGGCAGGACAGGTAGGACAGATAGGACAGATAGGACAGATAGGACAGATAGGGCAGATAGGACAGATAGGACAGATAGGACAGATGGACGGATAGGACGGATAGGACGGATAGGACGGATAGGACGGATAGGACGGATAGGACGGATAGGACGGATAGGACCGATAGGACAGACAGGACAGACAGGACAGACAGGACAGACAGGACAGCCAGGACAGACTGGACAGACAGGATAGACAGGATAGACAGGATAGACAGGATAGACAGGATAGATAGGATAGATAGGATAGATAGGATAGACAGGATAGATAGAATAGACAGGATTGATAGGATAGATAGGATAGATAGGATAGATAGGATAGATAGGAGAGATAGGAGAGATAGGAGAGATAGGAGAGATAGGAGAGATAGGAGAGATAGGAGAGATAGGAGAGATAGGAGAGATAGGAGAGATAGGAGAGATAGGACAGATAGGATAGATAGGATAGATAGGAGAGATAGGAGAGATAGGAGAGATAGGAGAGATAGGAGAGATAGGAGAGATAGGATAGATAAGATAGATAGGATAGGTAGGATAGGTAGGATAGATGGATACATAAATGCATAGATACATAGATACATAGATACGTAGATACATAGATACATTCATACATACATAGATGCATAGATACATAGATACATACATGGATACATAGATACATAGATGCATAGATACATAGATTCATAGATACATAAATACATAGATACATAGATACATAGATAGGTAGATAGATAGATTGATAGATAGATAGATTGATAGATCCATAGATAGATAGATACATACATACAGACTGACACACAGACACACAGACATACAGACATACAGGCACACATACACACATACACACACATACACACATACATACATACATACATACATACATGCATGCATGCATGCATACATACATACATAAATACATACATACATATAGATGTATACATATAGATGTATACATATATATGTATACATACACATGTCTACATACACACACACACATACATACATACATACATACATACATACATGCATACACACCTACCTACCTACCTACCTACCTACCTACCTACCTACCTACCTACGTACGTACGTACATACATACATACATACATACACACACATATTATATATATATAGTTACACACATAAATAAAGTAGTTTGAACTTGAAATTTGTCTAGAAGAAATTCCTCCCATGGATATGCAATGCTTTGCACGGAGGTCATCCAGCCCTGGCGCAGGGGCTGTGACTTTCTTCGCGGGGATCAGCTCGCAGGGGCGAAACCAGGTATCGCCCTATGACTCCAACCGCTTCCAGGCGCGAAGAGTCATGGAACTTGGTAGCGTTTCAAAGATGTATCAATAAACATCAAGATTGGGTATCAGACATCGCCCACTACACAATCCACATAATTGATCATAATTGTTGATGTAGTGTTGGAGATCCAAAAGGACTGTGTGGTGACTGGGCATTGCCGATGCCCCGGATGTCAAGGGCGATGCTGTTTTGAAGCTCTTGTACTTTGACCGGGAGGCGCGAGCAGCCTACACGAAATCTCAACAGGTTGCTCCAACCTAGCACCTACTTAAGGTAAATGATCGCCACAAATCTGGGGTCTTGCGAGCAACCCTGCTGATTCTTGGGGGTTGCCATAGGTTTCCCAAATTCGAGCCTGGCCCAGAAATATCAGAAGGAACCAGAAATATAGAGAGAATGTGTCTAGAGATGTTTAGAGAATTTCTATGATTTTCTCGTATGCTACCATCTAATTCAGGGGCATTTACAGTGAACTTAGTGACAGCATGAGGAGGTTGCATTTGTAGCACGGGCTCCGAAATTCCGACACTGTTGATGAACCTCCCATCCTCCCATAATCCCATGTCTGGTGGTTTCATTTTTATTCTCAACTATAGTTGGATTATACAGTATTTGGGATGATGCCAATTGTTGTCCCGTGTTAAATGGGTGAACTAGCCTAACTAGCCATCCAAAAATATCCAAAATCTAAAACCAACTAATATCAGTTATATAATATTACATAATCATATTCCCATGGCTTCCCAAATCCATCATCCCATGGCTGATATCGTCACCATTTCTGGATATCATCCCCATGATCTCCACCATCCATTGGGGTGTTTTCTTCGGCGTGGGGTTGGCTGAATTCCCATGACGATGTTGGTGATGTGTACGTATGTATGTATGTATGTATGTATGTATATATATATGTCTATATATATATACGTATATATATATATATCTTCATTATTCCATTGTTTCCCATTACCATTCATTGTTACTGTTGGATCATAAATCCCAATTATATAGATGCTGTAGTTTATACATTCTCCTGTCGCTTCAATATCCACCCCAAGTAGACAAATGGATGCTTGTTAATACAAGTTAATACTGGTTCATATTCATGAACAATGATTAGTGGTTGATTTGCAATGGATCTCCGCCATGCCACTGGCTCCAGCGCCGAAAACCGGTCCTTGGCGCGGCGCTGCGCCATCAATGCCATGGCGGACGCGGAGGAGAAGCTCTTTGACGCCGCGCGGCGCGGGCAGGCGATTTGCACACCGCCGATGCCCGAAGGGTTGCTGTTGTTGGAATGTCGCCCGCTTGCTTTGTTGTTGTTGTTGTTGTTCTTGTTGTTGTAGTTGTAGTTGTAGTTGTAGTAATAGTAGCAGTAGCAGTAGCAGTAGTAGCAGTAGTAGTAGTAGTAGTAGAATCCAATCTAATCTAATCCCATCTAATCTAATCTAATCTAATTTAATCTAATCTAATCTATCTATCTATCTATCTATCTATCTGTCTATACGTATATACATATATACACATATGCATATACATATATACATATATACATATATACATATATACATATATACATATATACATATACATATATACATATATATACATATATACATATATACATATATACATATACGGATATACGTATACATATATACATACATACATATATATATATATATATATATTAATATATATACATACATATACATATACATATACATATACATATATATATATACATACATATACATATACAGATATATATACATACATATACATATACAGATATATATATATATATACATATGTACATATATACATATATACAGAGATATATATACATATGTACATATATACATATATACATATTTACATATATACATATATACATATATACATGTACACATAGACACATATACAGATATACACTTACAATATCTTCATATTCCTTTAGTCACTGATAACAAGGACATTTGGTTCAGGGCACTTCCCAGTAAGGTCAGTTAAAGTGGTAGATTCACACAACAAAATGCAGCTGCAACTAACCTGCGAGCTTTTGAATGCTGGGCCAGGTATAGGATGGTATACGGTATAGGGTCCCCGCGAGAAATGATGGGACTTCGGAAGACTTGGCCCCCGCACCGGTTATATCGGCATTGGGTTTCCCTCGTTGTTGAACAAAACCTCATAAGTTGGAGGCATGTGGCAACGATACCGGAGGCCATGGAAGGTTCTTCACACTAAACATAAGCCAGAAATTGTTCGAATGGAATGAAGGCCGGAAAACATATGACACCCATTTCTGCTTTAGTGATTTGGTAAGGTTTCAAGGCCGCTGTGATGTTTTAAACGCTGGGGTCATTGGGAAATGTCAGGCGCAGGATGTTGAAGATGCTGCTTGGTGCTAATAGGGTGTGGATGTGGCTAGTTTTTTCTTCCCCTGCAGATCTTTAAAGGATGGATTGCGGAGTGGAAGGGTTGTTCAAATGACAAGGTTACCAAACATCTTGCGCTAGGTAGTTGTCAGCTGATGGATTGGTGTTAGTAACTCACTGCTTCAACCAGTCTCTCTAACACACGTCAATGTCGGCACTCTACATTTTTGCATTCAATCACCACCAATTAGCAGCCGCCGCATACAAAAACATATATCCTGATCTCCTGCCTAGCCATGTTGACATCCCAGGTAATCCAGGAACATCCCAATCTCCTGCAGTTCCAAGACCGTTGGGGACTGACAGCCTTGCACAGTGCTGCCGTGGCGGGCTGCGCCAATGTCATCGCAGTGCTGTTGGACTACCGTGCTAGCGTGGACGGCTGCAGTCGCAGTGGGCAGCTAGCCGCAGGGGAGAGAGTGACCCCCAAACGAAACCCTGTACATTTCCAGGGCCCAAGGGGCATTTCAGATGATCGGGTGATGGGATTACTGTGACTTTCTGGAAGGTCTTGATGCTTTTCCCCAAACAACAACTTGTTTGATTAGGGTTGCGCCCCGAGGCAAACAGCCCTGCACTTCGCCGCGCGCGAGGGCCGCGAGGCGGCCGTGGCCGAGCTGATCCGGCGCCATGCGGACGTGTCGCAGCGCACGGCGCACGGCATTCTGCCCATCGAGTTGGCCTCGGGCGGCTGCGCGCTGCTGATCCGGCAGGAGGCGTGTCGGCGCATCAAGGTGCGGAGAATAAATGGAGGGATGGAATTTTTACTGTCTTGATAGACCTAAAAGCTGTGGGGGCTCTTCTTATCATTGAATCCTTGAGACCCTAGCACTTCGCGTTAGATAGGGAATGGATTTGGAAGGTGGGAAGAGGCACCGCATGAATCCCATTTTTGGGACTCTGACGTGACCCAACCACATGTCATGTGGCCCAGCTGCACAGGTCACACCCGGCATATACCCCCCAAATATCCCCAAGTTAGCAATTCCAAGAAGGACAATGATGATTGAGCCAACAGATTTATGATTGATATTGATTTGTAATCTATCTATCTATCTATCTATCTACCTATCTATCTATCTATCCATCCATCCATCCATCTATCTATCTATCTATCTATCTCTCTGTCTATCTCTCTGTCTATCTCTCTATCTATCTCTCTATCTATCTCTCTATCTCTCTATCTATCTATCTATCTATCTATCTATCTATCTATCTATCTATCTTATCTATCTTATCTATCTTATCTATCTTATCTATCCTATCTATCCTATCTATCCTATCTATCCTATCTATCCTATCTATCCTATCTATCCTATCTTTCCTATCTATCCTATCTATCCTATCTATCCTATCTATCCTATCTATCCTATCTATCCTATCTATCCTATCTATCCTATCTATCCTATCTATCCCATCTATCCCATCTATCCTATCTATCCTATCTATCCTATCTATCCTATCTATCCTATCTATCCTATCTATCCTATCTATCCTATCTATCCTATCTATCCTATGTATCCTATCTATCCTATCTATCCTATCTATCCTATCTATCCTATCTATCCTATTCGATCCTATCTATCCTATTCGATCCTATCTATCCTATCTATCCTATCTATCCTATCTATCCTATCTATCCTATCTATCCTATCTATCCTATCTATCCTATCTATCCTATCTATCCTATCTATCCTATCTATCCTATCTATCCTATCTATCCTATCTATCCTATCTATCCTATCTATTCGATCCTATTCGATCCTATTCGATCCTATTCGATCCTATTCGATCCTATCCTATCCTATCCTATCCTATCCTATCCTATCCTATCCTATCTATCTATCTATCTATCTATATCGATCGGCTTCCCACCATATTCAGACACACCCATATTCATATTGTAATGAGCATAGAATCATACTCCATTCTGTATTAGTATGTATTAGTATCACATTCCAACAAACCATTTGTGGTATTCCAAGGAATGCAGATTTTGACTACAGTACCCTCTGGTAATGGAACATGGCTAGCTGGAAGATCCACCATTGAGTTCAATGAGTTTCCCAGCTATGAACCTCTATGGCTAGTGCAGCGGGGAGTTTTCAGCGGCCCGCCACGTGTTTGATTACCCAACCGTGGGTTAGTTATATCAGATATATCCTATTATATCCATTTTTCGTCCCATTACCCCATGACATTTCATGAACAAATCCTATTTTGCTGATGGTTAAATCATGTTAAATCCCTATAAATCAATCACCATAAAATCCAATGAATTCCCAGTAAATCACCCCATGGATGATCCGCCATGGGGTCAGGTGGTGGAGGATGACATCGAATGTCTACAGGATCGCCTCACGCGGGCCGTCGCGGCCAAAGAGCTACTGGAGCTTCAACTCTCAGAACCGGTGGCACCGAGTCATGCCAGCGCCTGGCTTGGAAGAGCGGTCTGGGGAGCGGAAAGGACCTGGGGTGGGTAAGAAAAGTGGAGAACATGATGTTGAAAATTTCGGTAGAATGGGGAGATGATGGAATATATCACTTGCTTGGGGGTGCAGTTTCAGGGTTAGTTTTTTGGGTTTAATCATGGGATTTTGGGCACCATAAATTGGGATGTGTCCCCAAGTTCAGGAGGGTCGCACTAACATGAGCCAGGAACTGCTTTGGAAATCAACCATAATTTAAAAACGCATTTCCACCCTTTATCATCATATTTCATCCTTTTCTGCGGGTTCGAGGTGAAACCTGGTGAAGCCCAGTGCAACCTGGTGAAATTCATTGAACATTCACCCAGCTTGATTTTGGCTGGTCCCTCAGGTACAGAGCCTTTAAGCTCAGCGGCAGATGGCATTCTGGCACCACAAAATGCCATCCAGAAGGCGGGGCTGCACGCCACTGATTGCCACACCAAAGAGTTGCTAGAAGATCAGCTGGTTGGGAATTTACAATACTGTAGTTTTTATTAAAATGGGTCAGGATGGTTAGGGGGCCGGAAATGGAAGTATACAAATTTAAAGTGTAGAGAGAGAGAGAGAGAGTGATATAGATAGAGAGAAAGAGGGAGAGAGAGAGAGGGAGAGAGAGAGGGAGAGAGAGAGACAGAGAGCGAGCGAGCGAGCGAGCGAGGGAGGGAGGGAGGGAGAGGGGGAGAGAGAGGGAGATATACACATCTAATATAATATATATGCATATATACACATATTTGTGATCATATATAGTCAGTCGGTTTCAGACGTTTTTAGAATTTCCAGTTCTGAAATGTGAGTTGGAAACTCAAAAGCTTTGCGTGCAATCTCTCTAGCCAAACACGGTCCAAGCTAGTGGCACATCACATGGCATCACATGGCATCGCGTGGCATCACATGGTATCACGTGGCATCACATGGTACGTGTGCACAAAAGTTGTCAATCTACAAGTAACATCCCAATACTGCACGTGCCCCATGATTTTGATAAAATCGGTGTCCCGCCACAACGCCGTGTCAACTTTGTTGCCTTTCCATGGTTTTGTACCCAAACGAGTTGGATATTTGGAAGATTTGGAAGGCTTTTTGCACCCCAGAGCTTCGCCAAATTTTCTCCTGTTTCTTTGAGGAGATATTTCCCATGAACTTCCCAACGCCATTGTTGGCTTCTCATGCACTGCCACAAGACTTTGTTGGGTTTTCCACCAACCCTCCTGGACATGGAGTTTGGTATTCCATCCTTCAGCAAGGTCCATTAAGCATCTATTCCTCGAGCGTCGCATCAAGTAAATGAGCACGTTGCAGCGTAGCATGACTGACATGGCGCTACGTTTTGCACAAGTGCACCGGAATACCAAGTGGCGTAGCATCACTTACTAAGGTAAAATGCCATTGAACGTTATTAGCCCGCCCCACCCCACCCCAATTTTTTTGTGGGCCGGTCAAAGATCCGCTAGAACCGCTAGCATTAAAAAATGTAGAAAGTATTAGAAAGTGCTGCTTACATGCAAAATCCATCAAAATGCATCAGCACATGTAAGGTCGCATGACCATGACCAGATTCTGTTTGATCTCCCCAGGCCACCACAGCCATGGCTGAAGCGGCGCAACTGGTGGACCGCGGGCCTGAGGCCTTGGGGGTCGGAGATTTTTGGGGATCAGAATTATGAATAGAGAAAGGGTGAATTATGATATGTTTATCATGGTTTATCATGGATTTATCCATTTATCCCCCTTTGGGATTTTTTCTATATTTTTCTTGTGCATTTCTGTGTCCTTGCTTCTCCGCTTAGAAATGCGTCTCTGCTTGTCCCTGCTTTTTTGCTTCTCTTCTTTTCCTGCTTTTCTGCTTCTCCGCTTTTCTGCTTTTCCGCTCCGCTTTTACGATACAGTTGCGCCCTTCCCCGCAACGCCCCCCCTTCCTGCTCCATCTTTGCGCTCACCTAAGAAAGTGGCAAAACCACCTGTTCAAGCCTAAACAAATCCTAAACCAAGCCTAAACACACCCTAAACCAAACCCTGAGCCAACCCTAAACAAACCGTAAACTGCACCAAAATGCAGTGCCATGGGACATGAGCAGTTTGAGCACCAAAATGTTGCCATTGAAATGGGAGGTTCACACTGCAAAATTTTCCAAATACCGTTGAAATGGCAGCTTCCAGCTTCAAAATGCTCCAAATAGCAAGGAGCACGGACAGAACAGGAAATCTCCAAAAATGTACAAAGCGAAAAACACCATCCCCAAACAAGTCCGGACCCTTATATAAATCATGATGAGAACGAAGAAGATGAAGATGAAGATGAAGATGAAGATGAAGATGAAGATGATGAAGAAGATACAGATTGGAATTAACACTATGATATATATATATATAATATGTTGTCTTTAAACAGATATCACTGTGATACTGTATATAATATATATATATATACATATCAACATATATCGATGTATATAAGTATCTACTGGTCATCTTGTATCCAGGAGAGCTACTGGCGCCGTGCTGCGGCCTGGCTGTCCGTGCAGCGCTTGCGCGGCCGGGCGGCCCTGATGGGCACCTTCATGCGGCAAGCGCCAGGAGATGTGCCCAACAAAAAGGGCGGGAGAGATCAGGAAATCGTCATTAATCCAGATGAATAACTTGGAGTATGATTGAGATGTTTTTCAGACCTGGAAGCGGATTTTTTTGGTTCCCTCCAACTTTGAATTTGTTTTGCAGTGTGCGTGCATGATGTTTTCGCTCGGGTCTATTTTTATCTACTCCAGGATGGGATGGGTATGCACATGTATGCACAAAACAACAGAGATGCGATCACAAACCCAGAAGTCAGGCTATAGCCGGCATAGGCAACCATCAGTTGGGATATAGCCAGCCAACATTGGGCGATTGGGGAGACAGCCAGCACATATTACGAAATTACAATGTATTGCAATTTAAATCCAGCCAAGGGGCATGGTTTACCTCTTCACATGACTACCATTTTAGCTTAAGGAAAGAGCGCCCCTGCAGCTTTGTGTTTTGGGGTTTTACCACTTTCTAACATCACTCTACTTCTATTGAATATCAGCAATTTTGTTGCATTACATGGCGAACATGAGCCACAGGGGCCGCTATTTATCACTGGGTCCAGTGGAAAGTTGCTACATGTCGTCTTAGTACTTCCCTTTTTCGAGGGGTTGAACATGACTTTGTGGTGGTTAGATACAGGTAGACATATTATTACATATTATTACAGTCATTTCGAAACCATAAGCCCTCTTTCTCCCGATAATCACCAATTCTGAGAGAGATAGTGGTCTTCCAACGCCCACAAATTGAAGGGTCCATGTCGGTTGGACAGGGTATATCCCATTATTATCCTATGGTTGGCTTCATCCCCGTTTTTTTTTGGCATGGACAGACTAAAGACTAAACCGACCATAAATGGTCATGACATAAAATACCGTAATCACAACTAGCATCTTCCAATTAAAATTTATTCCATGTTTTCCCATGATTAGACTTATTAGAAAAGATATTTTTCCCTATGGGAAAATGGGTGGCGGCTTCCCCAGCCCTCAGGAGATGGCTCGGATGGCTCGGATGGCTCGCCTTTTCCCTGGACGGGGCCGCTGGTCTCGGAGCATCCGCTGCCACTTTTTGACCCGGAGGACGAGGAGTTGCCGGCCTCGTGGCAGCCCAAAATGGCATGGGGATCATGGGACATGGCCCGCATCTTTTTTGAGAATGATTCTTCTGGGATTTTTGGAGTAGCAGGTGCCAAATTCTTTGGCCGGAAATACCATTGAACCGGCTGCTTGTGGTCGCAAGCTGACTCGCACGCACCCAATTTTGACTAGCAGAAATGTAGGTCCTAAAAATCCAGCTGACACAACTGCAAAGTTCAGGATCAAGCGGACAAAAACTGGTTGAACACCTAGAGACCAAACTTTGTCCGCAGTACGTCCGCCATTGCCTGCTAAGCAGCCATGGCGGATGCGGAGAATGGTCAGAAGATTGACCCCGATGCTACAAACGTTTTCGACGAAGAAGAGTTCGATGACCGAATCCCATACTCTGTCAGCCACTTGACATATGCAGGCAGCGTCCCGCAAGCCGGTTGCTGGCGGAATTCTGAAGTTCTGATGGTGTGAATTGCAACCAATTCTCCAATGCTGGACATTCAAGATTACTACATTCATTTAGAATCATTTAGATACATTTATCGAAGGCAGTTTAGAAGTCAAACTTCCGACAATATGCAGAGGTGGGCAGAGTCAGAGAAGAGAAGAGCAGAAGAGAGAAGATCAGAGAAGAGAAAGAGAAAGAGGAAAGAAGATGCAGGTGCGCGAAAAGGTAGCAAAGTCGCGAAACACAGCGTTTTTCCAATGATTTGTGGCTCCGGAGGGTCGAAAAGTAGGCTTGCTAAAGCGGTGGGTGCGGAACAATCTGGCTAGATGAGAGATGAAAAATTGCGCGCCGTTGTGGCGCGAAGCACATTTGCAAGTAAAAAAGCTAGAAACACTTCACGTTCGGACCACTGTTGGAAGTTGCGATGTCGAAACGCTACAGGCCACTAATTACACTACACTGCGCTAATTACATTGCACTACGCTAATTACAGTACACTATGCTAATTACACTACGGCTCACTACGGCTACAACTACTGTTACCACTACAGCTACGGGTACAACTACAACTACAACTACACTACATTCCAATACTACACTAATTACATTACACTACGCTACACCCGACTACAACTACAGCTACAACTACAACTACAACTACACTACATTACACAACGCTACGCTACACTAATTACACTACACTATAACTACAGCCCCGACTGCAGCTACAAATGCACCACATTACACTACACTACACGAATTACACTACACTAGACTACACTACACTACGCTACACTACACTACACTAATTACACTACGCTACACTACGCTACACTACACTAACTACAGCTACAGCTACAACTACAACTACACTACCAGTACTTTACATTTCACTACACCAGGCTGCACTACACTAGACAACACTACACTAGAGCACACTACAGCACACTACACTAGACCACGCTACAGCTCACAACACTACAGCACACTAGACTACATCACATTATGCTACACTCATTGTACCACACCACACCTACAACTGCAACTTCACTACGCTGATTACACAAAACACAATTTCAACTCCACTGCGCTACAACACAACTACAGCTGCACTACACCACACTACATCCAGCAGTTGTGGCTGCAACCGCTGCAACCACTCCAAAAAACAGACTTCCAACTTTCGGTGCATCAGTGGATTCGCTCTGCCATCCATGCATCACAACAATTCACCTCTCCTACAGCGTCCTATCCTTGAAACTTCCGCCACCGCCTTGCACGGTACTACTGGTATAGTATAGTCTAATGCCGTTCCATTCCTTTCACGATTGTTACCGCAAGGAACCACTGATGAATAAGCTGGCTACAACTGTGGACATGGCTCGAAACGATTGAACCATGTCGAGGTAAAACGCGTCCCAAAAGGAAAATGACAGACTTTTGGCGTATATATTATGTGTAGCTCCTCTGGGTGGTCCGTGGGGCACTGGGGCACCAGACCAATGGCGTTTTGGTTTCATTTGGGGTAGTACCTTATTCGAGCATATGTGTTCCAGACTGTGGGCCGGGAGGGTTCTGGTGTGGGTCGAGAGACGCTGAGGTTATTTCATGATTTGCATAGTACTGCCTGTCATGAACGGCCTGCTCAATTCCTTCGCGCCTCGTCCGAAGCAGCTTAGAATATCTCAGAAGATCCTCTGCTCTCCGCCGGTCGTGCCAGTATCTTTGAAGAGACGGATCGCCAAAAAAACAAAACAATAGGGATCTTTAAAAACAAATTTGAAACTTGAAACATACAAGAACAGGAAGGAATGATGGAAGGAGGGGAGGAAGGAAGGATATTGAATATTGAAAGAAGAGGGAAAAAAGGAAGAAAAGAAAAGACATGGAAAAACCATGAAAAACCAACTTTATCCCTCGCCAAATCGACGGATATATATGAACGTACTGAATAGACCCTAAACCATCCTAAACCAACCTTAAATAACAACCGTAAACCAACTTTAAATACACCCTTAGCCAAGCCCAAATAGATTCTAAACCAACGCTATGATAACATTCAATGAAACTATTTGCGCCCAACACTGGTGTGCCTCAACCTACATTCTACATGTTCACACCCCCTAGCCCATGGGTACCCCTAGCCCATGGGTATCCCTAGACCTCATGGCCACCGCCCTTTGTTTCACTATTCTCAACTGCTTTTGCAGAGGTTCCAGGATTCTAGGGACCCTGGTAGACGCCAAAATCGATTGAACCCAATCTTTCAAATTCGGGTTTAGTGCACACCTGACCATGCCCAAGAAGGCTCTTTAGGTTTTGCATGAGTCTACAGTATGAGACCGCCTGCAATTGACGGTCCGGAGATAGGAAAACTTTGGAGAAGCAAGAGCCCGGGTAGTGGCTATGACGGCCATGACTAGCAACAACATGAGACAACAAACCACATTCTCATACGTTCTGAACTTGAGATTGGCCATGCAGTGCAAGCATCGGTTCATAAAGGTCTTGTCAGAACCTGTTGAGATGCCAGCGCACCGCTGCACAAAGGCGTGGTCAGCGTATGCCCTCTATGCGCGCAAAAACGGCTGGAACTTGTCTCTGGCGGGCTTGGCGATTTCTATAGGTTGCGGGGGGCGCTTGATAGTACAGCAGGATGCTCGCTTGCAAACCTTCACCAGTGGGAAGTTGCAATCACCATTTGGTATCATTCGTAGGACTTTGTGGCAAGTGAGCTGCTTTGTGTCTGGCCTACAGGGCATCTGGTGATGAACCCGCCAGAAATTTACTTATGGGCATGAAACATCATGAAAACATGATCACACCTTTTTTTGCTTAAAGCCCTTTGTATGATAGGCCTTTGTACTTATACCCCGTGCTGCCCCCAAGGTGATTTTTCGCGCAGGCATTTGGACTTGCTTCATTTTTGTGGCTCGGCGCATGGACGCTGCAGTGTGCTCGGGTGCTGATTAGGCGGTGGCTATCAACCTCCAGTCCTCCTAAGAACTTCATGAACGCTGATTCTTTTCCAGACTAGCTCTATACAACAAGATGCTCCCTTGATTTCCATGTTTTTTAATCGATTTTCGATCTTCACTCGGCTTTCTATCAAATTCCCCATAGCTGCGGGGCCGCTGGGATCGCCTAAGGCTGTGGTGCAACTGACCGTTGCTTCAATGGCAATTGCCTATCCGGCTGAGGCTGATCGATGGGTGGGGTTGGGTGGTTTCTGATTCTTGGGGTGTCCAAGAAAAGTAGCAGTGGTATGGGTTGGTGGTTTGGGTTTGGATCCACGTGGTGCCTTGCAGCCTGTGTGGATTTATATTGTAGAGCTTCGCACACCGGCGATGCCGTAAGGGCTATGTATAGTAGTGTGAACGTTGGTGTTGTTCATGTGCTCTGCGCGTGCGCGCAGGTGCAGAGCACAGTGGGATGTTCTTGTCACACCGCAGCTTGTAACCATCTTACCACATCTTTTGGTCGCATTTTTGTGCTTGTTCTTGTTCTTCTTGTTCTTCTTGTTCTTCTTGTTCTTCTTGTTCTTCTTGTTCTTCTTGTTCTTCTTCTTCTTGTTGTTGTTGTTGTTGCAGCACAGCTTATTTTCGCATTTTCGTGGATCCCTAAAAATCGTCAAATAGGTGGTGTTTTCGCATTTTTTTGACACTCCCGGAGCAAAACACACGGTAAATACCAATGTTTTTTGCACTTCGGAAGCCCATAACCACGGTATTTACGATATTTTTGCCGCTGGTAGCAAAAATCACGGTATTTACAATGTCTTTTGGCCAGCGCCTAGCAAAAACACTAGTATTTATATACGCAGTTTTCACCATGTGGCAAGATGTAGTTTTTATATGCGAAAAGGATTAAAAAAAACACACTGTATTTTACGATGTTTTTGCTTCCCGGGCGCAGCAAAAATCGTCAAACAATGATTCAAAAACGGTTTAAAAGCGATTTCCAAAAGCATCTTATAATTCTAGCATCTTTTTTCCCGGCCCCGGACCCCCAAAAACGTGAAAACACAAGCAGAGTGAAGGATTTTGGGGGGTCGGCAGCAGGGGTGCGTAAAGCTATGGCGCATTGGTACACACATACGGCATCGCCGGATTTTAGAGCCGTCGGCTCCGCCGGATTACTTGGCCCTCGATGTCATCGCAGGGTGGGCTTGAAAGCTATTGAATGAGGACCTGCTGCTTCAGAAATACATTCCTTAAGCCAGCCTTAAGCTTTTTCGAACATTTCCATGGAATCATGGAACTGCGGTTTTTTTCTTGGAGCAAGTGGGGAGTCGGGAGGGCTTGTTCCCGAAAGCTCCTGCGAAAGGTTTTTGCTAAAGAATTGCTGCCAATTTCAACTTTCCACTTCGTGTAAAAGCGCCTCTGTGTAAAGACGTCTTTGTGTAAAAGCTTCTGTGTGTAAAAGCTTCTGCGTGTAAAAGCTTCTCTGTGTAAAGGCTTCTCTGTGTAAAAGCTTTTGTGTGTAAAAGCTTTTGCATGTGGAAGTTTCTCTGTGTAAAGAGTTCTTTGTACAACTTCTGTGCGTAAACGCGCCTGCGTGTAAAAACTCCTCTGTGTAAAGATTTCTCTGTGTAAAAACTTCTGCGTGGGAAAGCTTCCGTGTGTAAACGCTCTCTGTGTAAAGACTTCGTTGTGTAAAAGTTTCTGCCTGTAAACGCGCCTGTGTGTTAAAACTCTCTGTGTAAAGACTTCTTTGTGTAACAGCGTCTGTGTGCAACAGCGTCTGTGTGTAAACGCCCTTGTGTGTAAAAGCTCCTTTGTAAAGGCTTCTCTGTGTAAACGCTTCTGTGTGCAAACGCGTCTGTGTGTGTAAAAGCTCTCTGTAATCACTTCTCTGTGTCCTTCTTGCTCTTGCTCCTCGCCCTTCTTGCTCTTGCTGCCTGACTGCCCAATCCGCCAAGCCTCGGAACGTCCAGCTGCCAAGGCTCGAAAAGAGCGCCTTCGCCACACTCTAACAGCATGGCAGTGAAGGACGGAAAGGGACTCGGGGCAATGGCCTGTACTGCCTAATGCCGCTTTCTGCAGCTACAAGAAACTAGCTGTCTTTTTGCTTTTGCCGCCGCTTTCTCCTGCCTTCTTGCTCTCGCTCCTCGCCCTTCTTGCTCTTGCTGCCTGACTGCCCGATCCGCCAAGCCTCGGAACGTCCAGCTGCCAAGGCTCGAAAAGAGCGCCTTCGCCACACTCTAACAGCATGGCAGTGAAGGACGGAAAGGGACTCGGGGCAATGGCCTGTACTGCCTAACGCCGCTTTCTGCAGCTACAAGAAACTAGCTGTCTTTTTGCTTTTGCCGCCGCTTTCTCCTGCCTTCTTGCTCTTGCTCCTCGCCCTTCTTGCTCTTGCTGCCTGACTGCCCGACCCGCCAAGCCTCGAAACGGCTCGAAAAGAGGGCCTTCGCCACACTCTAAAGGATGGGAGTGAAGGGCGGAACGGGCCTCGGTGCAATGGCCTGTACTGCCTAATGCCGCTTTCTGCAGCTACAAGAAACTAGCTGTCTTTTTGCTTTTGCCGCCGCTTTCTCCTGCCTTCTTGCTCTTGCTCCTCGCCCTTCTTGCTCTTGCTGCCTGACTGCCCGATCCGCCAAGCCTCGGAACGTCCAGCTGCCTAGGCTCGAAAAGAGCACCTTCGCCACACTCAAGCAGCATGGCAGTGAAGGAGGAAACAGGCATCCGGGTAACGGCCTGTACTGCTTAACGTCGCTTTGTGCAGCTACAATGAGGAACTAGCTGTCTTTTTGCTTTTGCCGCCGCTTTCTTCTGCCTTCTTGCTCTTGCTCCTCGCCCTTCTTGCTCTTGCTGCGTGACTGCCCGACCCGCCAAGCCTCGAAATGTCCAGCTGCCAAAAGGCTTGAAAAGAGCGCCTTCGCCACACTCTAACAGCATGGCAGTGAAGGACGGAACGGGCCTCCGGGTAACGGCCTGTACTGCCTAACGCCGCTTTCTGCAGCTACAAGAAACTAGCTGTCTTTTTGCTTTTGCCGCCGCTTTCTCCTGCCTTCTTGCTCTTGCTCCTCGCCCTTCTTGCTCTTGCTGCCTGACTGCCCGATCCGCCAAGCCTCGGAACGTCCAGCTGCCTAGGCTCGAAAAGAGCACCTTCGCCACACTCAAGCAGCATGGCAGTGAAGGAGGAAACAGGCATCCGGGTAACGGCCTGTACTGCTTAACGTCGCTTTGTGCAGCTACAATGAGGAACTAGCTGTCTTTTTGCTTTTGCCGCCGCTTTCTTCTGCCTTCTTGCTCTTGCTCCTCGCCCTTCTTGCTCTTGCTGCGTGACTGCCCGACCCGCCAAGCCTCGAAATGTCCAGCTGCCAAAAGGCTTGAAAAGAGCGCCTTCGCCACACTCTAACAGCATGGCAGTGAAGGACGGAACGGGCCTCCGGGTAACGGCCTGTACTTTCTGCAGCTACAAGAAACTAGCTGTCTTTTGCTTTTGCCGCCGCTTTCTCCTGCCTTCTTGCTCTTGCTCCTCGCCCTTCTTGCTCTTGCTGCCTGACTGCCCGATCCGCCAAGCCTCGGAACGTCCAGCTGCCAAGGCTCGAAAAGAGCGCCTTTGCCACATTCAAACATGGCAGTGAGGGGCGGAAAGGGCCTCGGGGCAATGGCCTGTACTGCCTAACGCCGCTTTCTGCAGCTACACGAAACTAGCTGTCTTTTTGCTTTTGCCGCCGCTTTCTCCTGCCTTCTTGCTTTCAACCAAATCAAATCCCGCCGCTAGCCTATTTTCGTTTTGCTGCTCTCTTGCCTCCTTGTTCTTGCATCTGGTGTTTTCTTTCTATAGCTCCGAAAAGCAGCTCCCAGGCCTCAAACACGGCGCCCCCGCCACGCTCAAACAGCATGCTACTGAAGGACGGATCGGGCATGAAGCCTGCGGCCCAGAGTGCCTACGGTTGCTTTCTGAAGCGAAAAGAAGCGAGCTCCCAAAAGCTTGCTACTTGCTACTTTCGGGGCTGCCCTCGCAGAGCCTTGGCGCCTGCGGCCTGCACCTAGCCATGCCTACCGTCACTTTCTGAATCCACAAGAAACTGGCTCAAAACTGCTTACCCAAGCTCCCAAACTGTTCCCTGGTTTCTTGTCCCCTCAACTTGTAGCTTGCTTCTTGCCCCTCTTCTCTGACGCCCCCCCCCCTCTGCTGTCGGCAGGGGTCGGCGGATAATATGGGGGTACTCCCGTGCATATCTTTCATAGGGATGCTCGGGATTCCAAAACACTTCAGCCCTAACCACCAGTGAAACATTTGTTGAAAATCTGTTTCCAGGAGGGAGTTGTCGAAGGAGAAGTCGCCCAAACCCTGGATGATGTTTGTTTATCCCGGACCTTACTCCGTCGTTTCATTCCATTTTTCTTTTTGGCAACTGTTCACATGTTGGGCGCGGAGTTCCCGTGTCCTTGCCTTCGATAAGTTTCAGGATGCAAGGCCATACTATGACCATGACCATATTATGCACCCCTCAGGGAAACGATGCCTCGGGGTTACAGGCAATAGTTGTCTACGTGCAAGTGGCTTGCATTCCTGCGTTCGATGTGACTGTGGCCATTGAAACTTTGTTGCCATGGGCTTTGGGTGTGGGGACAGTCCCAAGGGTCCCAAGGCTTCCAAGGGGTCTCTGGGCCTGCTGGATGATTTTGCATGAGAGGAAAGGGTATTTGTTGCAGTATCCGTTGGGATTTGCCATTATGCTGGGTGATGGTGAACCCACACCTCACATTGCATGGGGATCTTCACCATCGCTGAAACCGCCTGTAAGTCGTCATTCCCCAAGGAAGGCCTGGCCTTCGATACCTGGTCAGACTCAGAGGCGGTGAATTTTTGGGATCCGCCACCGCCTCTTTTCAGGGAGGTGGTGAAACCACAAACCATTCTGAACCAACATTCATTGTGGGTTGGACAGTCTTACCAGTAAATGAACTGGCAAGAAATGGGTGCTCGTGGAATTACCATGGGCTACGGGTGAATTAGAAACACGTCACTGCAACATTACTATGAAGGATGGCAGATGTAAGGGGACAAAACGACCCCTAAATAGCCGAAGGTTTCCGGTTGGTGGATGCTTGCAATTTCCGAATGTTCTTGGGAGTTGGGAGTTGGCCCAGCCGAGCATGTGTACGATGGCTGCCTGCAGGTTGCTAGGCCAGTAGTCGCCGCAGACGAAATTAGGATCAACATGGATCAACCATCACCAGGGTGTAATTTCAAGTGGTTTCAGTCCTTTCAGTTGGAGACGATCACCTCAAGTACTTGACAGTTTTTGTGGGAGGGAGTAGCCGAAAAGACAGTTCATCTTCACATGTTTACTTTAGTTGTCTTCGATTCCACTATTTCAGGCATATCTGTGGATGAACTGCGGCCTCGCTAACCGCCACCTTTTGCAGGCACAGGTGGGCCAAGCTCAGTCAACGGTTCTTTCCATCTTCACCATTGCATATGCTATGGCTGCACCTTGGTGGTGGAGGGTGTTGGAGGGCCCCCAGATTCTAGAATTTTCAATAATTTTCTATATTTTAATTCGATCTTTTTAGATATTTCGATACTTGTTTCCCTACGCGGGGCCATTACACATAGATTACACATCGCTTTTGGGTGTTTCAATAGTGGTTCACCCAGATCGCAAATCCTTAAGTCATAGGTTTCCGCCCCGGGCATTCTCAGACCGTCGCAAATCTGGAGACCCATGAGCTCCAACTCTGTCCTGGCTGGTGCTTTCGATGATTTTTTCGGCTCCCACAGCTTACATGGGCTGATAAAAAGACGGAAAGACAGAAAGGCAGCCAAACAGACAGAGGACAGAGACAGAGACAGAGACAGAGGCAGAGGCAGAGGCAGAGGCAGAGAGAGAGAGAGAGAGAGAGCGGCGAGGGAGGGAGGGAGGGAGGGAGAGAGACGGACGAGAGCGGAGAGAGAGAGAGAGCGAGGGAGGGAGGGAGAGAGAGAGAGAGAGAGCGAGGGGAGGGAGGAGGAGAGAATGTGGGAGAGAGAGAGAGAATGTGAGAGAGAGAGAGAGAGAATGTGAGAGAGAGAGAGGGGGGAGAGAGAGAGAGAGGGGGAGAGAGAGAGAGAGAGAGAATGGTGAATGGTGGATGGCTAGCTAGGTAGATAGGTAAGTAGACAGGTGGGTAGATACTACTAGGTAGGTAGGTAGGTAGGTAGATAGGTAGGTAGAAAGGTAGGTAGATAGGTGGGTAGAGAGTGGATAGATAAATAGATAATACATAGATGGCTAGGTGGACAGATGTTTTGCATTATTATGCGCAGTTTTTTTTAATCACCTGCATGGCCCAGACAGCTCTCAGGCGACCTTCGGTGGTGTCATCTATGATGCGGGTAGTTGGACTGGCGCCTCAGCTGATCAAACCAAGAAACCCCAGAACATTTGATCGATGTTTGGGAAACAAATTAAGTAAATAAACAAATAAACACATAAATAATTAATAGATAAATAAATAAACAAATAAATAAACAAATAAGTGAATAAATAAATACATAAATAGATAAATAAATAGTTGTATGTATATACTGTATATGTTGAACCTTTGGATGACATGGGGGTTTCCCAAAAAATGAAACATGAACAGTTTTGGGATGTTTGGGATGTTTGGCGGCCAGACCTGGAACCCGCACATGCAAGGCGCAATGAGTGGCCCCCTTTGCAAGGCAATTTCCAGCATTTGGAGAAACAGTCGCATTTATTTCCACAAAAAAAACACTTTTGGTGGATTCATGATCCCTACATCCTGCTGCTTCCATCTCAAACCATACCAAAACTACCAGAATTGGATGATTGGAACTTTTGCACAACAGAATACCGGTAAAACCATTGTTTCCTGTAGATTTTGCCTTAAATTAAGCGATTGAATCAGCCCAAGTGGCAACCCTGGCCAGGGGCGACCCGGAACCACCAATCAGAATCTCCTCTGGATCCATCCCGAAACATGCACGGCCGTTGGCCAAGGCATCTCCCTGTTTCACCTTACGTGCAGCTTGGTGCAGCTGTTGGTGTTTGCCGCTTGGCTTCAGACAAATCCATTATCCTCCAGGGAGAGGAGATTAGTTTTCAAGGACTTGGACTGGAACCTTTTGTTTGAAGGTCCGACTTGAGCTCCCGGCTGCTGATGGGACATTTTAGTTGTGGTACTGTTGTAGTGGGTTTCCCTTAGTTTCTTCGCCCCAACATGCTAATTCTATTTCTTCTCCGGGCCGCGCCATATTCCTCCCAAGACTCTCCCAAAGCCACCAAAAAGGACCCTGCCATTTCTCATTTGTCGCCAGGTATTGCGGGGGAGTCATTTGGCTGATAAGTCGTTGCCCTGGCCAAGGTTGCACAACCCGCAATGCTCAAGTCTTTCTGGGAGTTTATACATCGTATACGTGGCGACGATGATGAGGATGAGGATGATGAGGATGAGGACATGGGATGGGGGATGCCACCATGACACCACCATGAGACCTCCATCTTCATTCGATCTCCTTCGTTTTGGTTTGAAGCTAGGGTCGAAATCATTGAGCATCAGGACACGTTTTTTCTCTTTTAATTCCTGGGTGGGGGAAGAGATGTTAGAAGAAAGGTAAAAAAGATAAAACAGGATGAACGTTTTAGACTTTAGACCTTGGAATGGCAGATTTTGGATGTCTTTATTTATATAGTATAGTCATAGTGTTTAAGCATCAGATTGCCAATTATTTTGGGTTGCCCGGTGACTACCCAAGCAAATACCGATTTTCATCTTGATCGGTCCATGTTGAGATCACCAGACTTGTTGAACAGATCCCCACTTTTTAGATCCTTTGGCTCATATCCCGAGCCACAGGATGAGGTGAAAGAGCTCGGCGACCAAGTCACCAGCATTGTCCCCGGACCCAAGGTAAATGTGGTGCCAGTGTCAGAGGCCTCACCCTTGGGACCATCAGCACAGTCGGGACCCTCGGGAGCCTCTGGACCTTCTGGACCCTCTGGGGGCAAAGCAGAAGAAATGGCGGCGCTGCCTGGCGCCGTGGAGGAGGAGGCTCTCATGGTGGGTTCACCAAGACTTGGGGTGATGGGTCCAACTTTTAAACCCATGGAATAGCAACTTTTACAATCTGGTAGCGAATGTAGTCGTACAGTAACGCCATTCTAGTTTGGGGACACCAATTTTAAAGCACGGTTTCAATCCTACAGAGTTCTCGTTGGGAATATATTGTCCTGTCTGAACGCCAGCCTGGACCCCTCAAGGCCGGTCCACGTGCAACTGCACCTGAAAAAGAAACCCAGATCGTGCTGCCGGAAAAAGAAGTTCTTCCTTCAGATGATCCAGATGGAGTTCAGAATGCTGCACACAGTGAGGGTCTCTTGACAGCAGCACTTTGGGAACCCGGGCCAGAACACCTGGTGTTTTGCTATCCTGAAGAGCACCGAATATTGGTTTGGTGGTAGCCTTTTTGTGGTGCAAAGGCGGACATAGGGAGGGCCATTTTTTTTTGTTTTTGTTTTTTCCTGGTTCCGTGGCTTTTGGCTTTTGGCTTTTGGCGTTTGCTTTCCGTGGATGAGATGAAATGAGATGACCTTGTCTTGGCTTCGTGGCCCCTTGCTTTTGGCTTTTGGTTTCTGTTTTTTTGCGGCTTTTGGTATGATTCTGGTAAGAGGAGACGAGACGAAAAGAGATGAACTAATAACTACTGATGAGACGAAAAAGAAGAAGAAGAAGAAGAAGAAGAAGAAGAAGAAGACGAAGAAGAAGAATAATAATAATAATAATAATAAGAACAACAACAACAACAACAATGTGAATAACAAAGGAAAGAAACGGAAGAAACATGAAAAAAACTGAAGGAAAATGAAGATAAATGAAGGACAATGGAGGAGAAATGAAGGAAAATGGAGGAAAATGAAGGAAAAATGAAAGAAACTTGAAAAAACTAAAGGAACATGGAGGAAAATCAAGGAAATGAAGGAAACAGAAAGACACAAACCAACCAGACAAAACAAACAAAAATCATAAAAAAATGCACGCCCCGGACATAGTGATGGGTCCCATATGGGACCCTAACTAGCCTGCCCGCAAATCTAGCTGACAAATATGGATATGAAGAAACAGTAGCAAAGCATAACGTACTATACACATCTATACACTAAATACATTACATTACATTACATTACATTAACATTACATTACATTACATTATATTACATTACATTACATAATATACGTGTGTATATATCACACACACACACGCATATGTGTATATATAACTATATATATTTATATATATAAATATGTAATATGTAATTGATTATATATGACAAATGACATATATATATATATACACATAATATTTGTGTGTATCAATACATGTGTGGCATTGATTTCTAGATGATGGACTTGCAGACCCGAATGAGATGCACCCACATGATCCTGTAATATCCTACAGGTATAACTGGATTGAGTCGGCTGATCTGCTGAGGTGATGCGCGTGCGGCGCGTGCACAAGCTTCAAGAAGGGCTTCGGCACGCTCGGCGGCGTCCACCAAATCTTCAAGGCGACGCAAGACGGCTAATTCAGAGAGTCCAGAAGATGATGAAGATGCTGCGGCTGAAGGGTTGATTGTTTGGACGTAAGGGAAAGAGGATGAGGATGAATTACAGTTCTAACTTACAGTCCTCTATTACCACATAGTATCATATACTACCATAGGTCACCATAGATTGCCACAGTGTAGCATCAACAGGGTGCACTACCCACAGCATTTGTCCGCAGGGTTGTGCTAAGGAGCACGAGAGGCGCAGCAGAGCATTGATCTCTCCAAACTTGGCACGAAGCTCCATTATGACAGGCGAGGGCTATAACGGTTATAGCTGTTATGACGAACGGAAACTACCAGGTGATGCCAGCATATGATGGCACTATGGATGATGAATATATAATATATTATACTGATCACGCGTGGGTTCAATCAATTGTCAGTTGAATTCAGTTGTGCTGAGTTATCCCAGGGGTTCCCCTCTAAGCAGGAAAAACATTGCAAACATGGGGTGAGTGTGGTGTATTGCGATTTTTTTGAACATTGAACTTGTTCACCTGCATCTCTCCCAACGCAATATCACAATGGGATACAATGGGCCATTCACCAATATTCACCATATATTCACCATATATTCACCATATATTCACCATATATTCACCATATATTCACAATATATACCCATTTCATAATCATTTTCCCATTTCTACCTTCGAATCTGATGTTGGCTATGGCCATGTTGGGCCGCGGAAGGATATGTCAAATCCCTCTGTTTGCACTGTAAATCCATATTCAGTGCTGGTGCTTGTAGGATCTAGCTTGTAGGGTCTTGTAGGCTTGTAGGCCCTAATTTTCCAATCCCCATTTGCGGTTAGACAGGACATCCAAGATATTTGCAGAATCTGGGTGAGCTTCATCCCCCTTGGTACCGCCATGTTATTTTCCTGGGTGTCTGGCCCTAAAATTAATAATTCTATAAGTGTTTTTTCCTAGCACCCCCCCATGTTGCAAAGGTCAGGACAACCATTTTAATTTTGAAATGGGAACGTGGGGGGTAAGAAGACAATGTCATGGGACAGGAGAATAATTGTTATTATAAAGCTATCTTGAACGTCTGCAACATGTCAGGTCCCAGAAAAAGAATTTTGGGGTGATTTTAGCGGAGGGGGGAAAATGAAAGTCAACAAAAGCTTGATACACACAATTTTGATTTTTGACGGGGGGGGAATGGATTTCATAAAAAGCTTGATGGACACCAATTTAATAAAAAACAAGTTGAGATTTCTGCACTAGGTTGTGGTACAGGATTTCAATTTTCCACATGTAGGAGGGGGGGGGGTGTGAGCCAAATGTCAAGGGGGTGTGAGCCAAATGTCAAGGAACAGGATAATAATTTTGGTCATAGATCAAGGGGGGGGTAAAAAGGTACCCATCAGACTATTTTCCTTGACTGGACCCTCCCGTGTAGTACCAACGGGGATTGAACTTCCGCCAGCCGCTCCACCAGTTCCACCGTTACAGGCCACTCCTCCCGGAGTTCGGTCAGCTCGCACGTCTCGCAACCTCGTCGCCGCAATCAACGCCTGACCGTTGCGACCCACGGGACTCTCGCAACACACAGAACAGGACGCCGGGAAGGGCCATGGCGAATCAGAGGTACAGAGATGTTGTAGATCACTTGTAGATCCTGTAATGTTACATCGACAGTAGTAAAGGGGGGTCCCCCCCTATTTCCCCACCTGCCAGGTGAGGGTTGTTAGATTTTATGTCAGTTGCCTCCTCCTGCCTCGTCCTCCTCCTCCTCCTCTCCTCCTCTCCTCTCCTCGTCTCCTCTCCTCTCCTCCTCTCCTCTCCTCCTCCTCCTGCTCAACCGCGACCCTCGAAGCACAGTGTTCTCTGTCGGACCTCAACCACGACCATCCACGCCCAGTGTTCCCTGCCGGACCTCAACCACGACCATCCCCGCCAGTGTTCCCTGCCGGACCTCAACCACGACCATCCACGCCCAGTGTTCCCTGCCGGACCTCAACCACGACCATCCACGCCCAGTGTTCTTTGCCGGACCTCAACCACGACCATCCACGCCCAGTGTTCCCTGCCGGACCTCAACCACGACCATCCACGCCCAGTGTTCCCTGCCGGACCTCAACCACGACCATCCACGCCCAGTGTTCCCTGCCGGACCTCAACCGCTAGTATCCACGCCAAAAGATATGCCACATAGAGTGCCAGAAGATATGCCAGATAGAATGTTAGAAGATATGCCAGATAGAATGCCAGAAGGTATGCCAGATAGAATGCCAGATAGAATGTCAGCTAGAATGCCAGAAGATATGCCAGATGAAGTGCCAGAATGTTTGCCAGATAGAATGCCAGCAGATTTGCCAGATAATATGCCAGAAGATATGCTAGATAGAATGCCAGATGGAATGCCAGAAGATTTGCCAGAAGATATGCCAGATAGAATGCCAGATGGAATGCCAGAAGATATGCCAGAACATATGCCAGAAGATATGCCAGAAGATATGCCAGAACATCTGCCAGAAGATATGCCAGAACATCTGCCAGAAGATATGCCAGAACATCTGCCAGAAGATATGCCAGGTAGAATGCCAGAAGATATGCCAGATAGAATGCCAGAAAATATGTCAGATAGAATGCCAGAAGATTTGCCAGTAACAAAATGTATAAATGTCATGGTGGGGATCACACGAAGTAAAGTATTTTTTTTTTTAAGGGGGGGGGTCTGCTTTGCAATAGTAAATCAAAAATTCCAACTCTTCCCCAAAGGCTTCTGTAAGGTTTTGACAAATCCTCTCTTTTCTGATGGGCCCTGATGGGATCTTCATTGGATTCTGATAGGAAGAAGGGGAAAAAATGCCTGCTAGAGCCAGGAAGGTTGTTTCTTATTGCAAGTGCTAATTCCTGTTTTTAATTGCAAATGCAAAGACCTGCAAGGGGGTACCCTTTGCGGACATGTTTTTTGCAATTTTTTTTAAAGGATTTTAAAAAGGAAAACAACTTTTTTGAACAAGGTAAAGTTTTTGATTTGGTAAAGGTTTGCTTTGTTTTTGCTTTTGAAAAACATGCAATCACAATTAAAAACAATTCAACCACAATTAAAAACACTAAAAAAAAAGGGAAAAAATGCCTGCTAGAGCCAGGAAGGTCGTTTCTTATTGCAAGTGCTAATTCCAATTTTTAATTGCAAATGCAAGGACCTGCAAGGGGGTACCCTTTGTGGACCTGTTTTTTGCAATTTTTTAAAAGGATTTTAATAAAGAAAACAGTTTTTTTGAACAAGGTAAAGTTTTTGATTTGGTAAAGGTTTGCTTTGTTTTTGCTTTTGAAAAACATGCAATCACAATTAAAAACCATTCAACCACAATTAAAAATACTAAGGAAGAAGGGAAAAAATACTGCTGAACTGTAACTGGTTCTGATTTTTTTCCTGCACCCATACTAAATCTCAATTAGTTCCTTTACAATTTAGTATTGGACAATCTGATAATTTGGGAATTTTCTGAAAATTATTTGCAGCTATTGCGAATGAACCCCATTTATTGCAGATGCTCTGGACCAAGGTTGATATTTGTAATTTAAAATCAATAAGGTTTAATTTAAAATCAATAGGGGCTTAAAAATAAGATTCTGAAAATTACTTGTAGCTATTGCACGCGCTTCACTATTGTCCATCCAACATTATACAGGATCTATAAAGAAAGGAATGCATAAGTAAATAAATAAATACATAAATAAACACATAAAATATATTTCAACACACTAGGATAGAAGATATTCCCCCTATTATTTTACAGGCCAACTTCTATTTGATTTTGGGTTTGGCACCCCAACAAAAACCAAATCAAATTTCAAACATTCTTTAAAGTATTCAAGAGATGAGGTCCCAAGATGATGTTGCCAAAAAAGCCTATTTCTTGGATATGCAATATCTTCTATTTGAAATGGGCTTTTGGGGGCCCTACTTCTATTTGAAATTGACTTCTCTATTTGATTTTGCTTGCTGTAAACTCACCTGAAGTGTCCAAGATGCAGCCTGCCCTGACACCTGCTTCGCCTCCCCTGCCCCCTGCATCCCTGCCCCCTGCCTCCCCCTCCCTCCCCTGCCTTGCCCTCCCTTGCCCTGCCCTGCCTTTCTTTGCCTTGCCCTCCTGCCCTTACCTTGCCCTTGCCTACCATTGCCTGAAACATATCATTTTTGAAAGGTCGAAACGATGGGCTCCAACTTGAGATGTCTTGAGGATTTTGCAAGATGCTTGTGGGAGAGACACCATGATGGTCAGTCCCTCGCTTAGGCCTACGTTTTTTCTCGCTTAGGACTACGTTTGTGATATATGACTACAGTATCAATAGAAACACAAATAGATGTATTTGAACATGACTTCAACAAGCTTGTACATGTGTGACAGAGATGATCATCAGGACATTTTCATTTAATCATATGAATAAGAATTAAGAAGATGTTCCAACGTATCAGGGCTGTATTTCAAGTGCCTTGACGGAGAGTTTAGAACGCATCAGGAACATTTTGCAAGTTACTTGAGGAATATAATGCAACGTATCAGGAACGTCTTGCATGTTACTGGACGAAGATGTTACAACATACCAGGAACATCATTCAAGCTACTTGAAGAAGATTTGACACAGTGCCAGAAACGTCGTGCAAGTTACTTGCAGAAGATTTCAAAACGTACAGTAGCAGGAACGTGTTGCAAGTCACGTGAAGAAGATGTTACAACGTATCAGGAACATCTGGCAAGTTACTTGAAGAAAAGTTTACAACGTATGAGGAAGGTCGTGCAAGTTACTTACAAGTAGGAAGATGCTGCAAGTATCAGGAACGTCTTGCATGTTACTTGACGAAGATGTTACAACATACAAGGAACATCATTCAAATTACTTGAAGAAGATTTGACAACGTGCCAGGAACGTCTTGCAAGTTACTTGCAGCAAATTTCACAACGTATCAGGAACGTGTTGGAAGTCACTAGAAGAAGATGTTACAACGTATCAGGAACATCTGGCAAGTTACTTGAAGAAGAGTTGACAACGTATCAGGAACGTCTCGCAAGTGACTTACAAGTAGGAAGATGTTGCAACGTATCAGGAACGTCTTGCATGTTACTGGACGAAGATGTTACAACATACCAGGAACATCATTCAAGCTACCTGAAGAAGATTTGACAACGTGCCAGGAACGTCGTGCAAGTTTTTTTTTTTGCAAAAGATTTCACAACGTATCAGGAACGTGTTGCAAGTCACTTGAAGAAGATGTTACAACGTATCAGGAACATCTGTCAAGTTAGTTGAAAAAATACAACGTATAAGGAACGTTTTGCAAGTTACTTACAAGTAGGAAGATGTTGCAAGTATCAGGAACGTTTTGCATGTTACTTGACGAAGATGTTACAACATATAAGGAACATCATTCAAGTTACTTGAAGAAGATGTGACAACGTATCAGGAACGTCCCTAAACCCACCCCATGTCCCAGCCCCGTGTCCCCAAGTGTCCCCTAAACCCACCCCAAGTGTCCCCAAGTGTCCCCAAGTGTCCCCAAGTGTCCCCAAGTGTCCCCAAGTGTCCCCAAGTGTCCCTAAACGCACCCCAAGTGTCCCCAAGTGTCCCCAAGTGCCCCCTAAACCCACCCCAAGTGTCCCCAAGTGTTATATAACCTAAAGGTCTGTATCCCATGGAGTTGGTTCCCTAAACTCACCCCATGTCCCAGCCCCGTGTCCCCAAGTGTCCCCTAAACCCACCCCAAGTGTCCCCGAGTCCCCAAGTGTTAACCTAAAGGTCTGTATCCCATGGTGTTAACCCTGAAGTCAACATCAAAAAATGTCGTCCTAAGTGAGCTTTGGACCACCTGAGAAGGTTTTTCGAAGAAACTGGTCGAGGAGATATGCGGAAATTATCAGAAATTTGAAGTAATGATTCCAAACATACTCAAACCCTCTTTAGTACAGCTACAGCTACAGGCTTTCGTAAGTTTTTGTTGGATGTGGGAACCCAATCGTCCATCGTGGAAGCTGGGGCCTTGACATTTCTCCATCTGCCAGGACATACACATGCATCAGGTCGGACGGCAAACACCACAAGATCCACAAGGACCATGGAGACAGTGATGACAAACCTGTCAAAGTTTACCGCTTTGAACCTTGGCATTAGACAGACAGGAAGCGGAATGCGCCGCTCTTTTGCAGACACAAGCATTGCATGACTGGGATGACACAATTTTGAAGGATTTTGGGTATATGGGGGCAGCACGTTTCTCTTCGTCTTGCACGCTATGCCGCTATGCCACAGCTTCCAAGGTGCTGCAGTTGGGGACCCAAAACCGGATTTGGGGCATACCAGCGTGCAATTTGTTGTGGACAACCCTCCACGTGTTTCACGGGTGGAACAAACCGATCCGAGAACCTTCCAGACATTTCAGCCGAGAATGGAGTTAGGGGCGAAGGTGATCCAGGTGCATCTGTACATTTTGTACACGCAGCGCTGAGGACAGAGATGGGTGAACACTTTCAGTACAACTTCGGAGATCTTTGGTTGCGCATGGTGGCACTGTTCAGCTGGGTGCCCACTGATGGTGGTGTCGATGTACAAGGAACCAAACAGACCCTTTATATAGATCCCTTTAGAGATTTGTCACGTGTCATTTGCAATGACGTGCTGCCTGTGCATATATGTGGGTAGACTATGAACCACTGAGTATGGGTGTTGCAACCTGAAGCAACTTCTATACACCACCGCACCTTGTAGTTGTTACCTTAACACATACCCTTCCCCGCCAATCACAGGTGACCCCATGCAGCCCTGTAAAATCGCACGTCTTACGCAGTGAACAGAAGCCTTGAAGATAGTGGGAATTGTTCAGTCTTAAAATAGTAACGAATTCTTCCTGTAGCTGCCTGATTTCCACCCTTAGCCATTTGTTTGTGAACCCGCTTCATGTACTGCATTTGAATTTAAAATCATTGAAGCTCAAAATTTGATTTGAGTTTGAAAATGGCCATAGAAATAGTTGATTTACCCATTAAAAATGGTGATTTTCCATAGTTATGTAACCCATAGCTTCCCCGTTTCCCTGTTCTTTTTCTGGCGGATGTTTTCAGGGATGAGCCGTGGCAGCTCCATGGACTTCAACAGAACATACACAGTAATATAGACAGATATAGAGTACAATATACAGAACACACACAATATATATATATTATATTATATATTATATATTATATATTATATATTATATATTATATATATACATAATTATATATTCACATATAATTATATTTGTATATATTTGTATGTATATCCTTAGCCATGGGGCGATATGTACTCCAACAGCCTGGGCAACTTTTTGGGGGTCGATGCCGTTTGGGCGCAAGAGCTTAATCATACCACTTGAAGCCATGATGTGGTAATCTGTTGTAAGTAGTGCTGTGAGGCCTGACGAAAATTGCCATTTTGGTCGTTTTGAGGTAATGCTATCGTTTTTTTTTTAGAGAGGGGGTGTGTGTTGTGAGCGCCATTTTTTTTTGCATTTTTAAAATTCCCTTTCTGCAAAAGGTACAACACCCTGTTCTTTCCAAAACCAAACATCGTTGCTTCTGTAACAAAAGCAACCGCTGTGCATGCCCAAGAGCTCTTCCAGGTCATACATAGATACATTTAACCGAAACAAACATGAATAATAGATTATATAATACAACAAAACAAGCAAGTGCAAGTGCCTTTGCAAAGAGTGCAGGATTGCTTTAAGAATGTATAGGCCCTACACCTCTACAGGAGTTCCCCTCAACATATGCAATGGCTTTTTAAAAAATGTGCATTCTAAACAGGCACCAATTCAATGCAACATGTTCTCTATAAATAATGAAGGAAACATAAAGTTGCAAATGCTACTTGCAAAATGATTTTGCACAAAGAACGCTATTCCTCAATGTATGCAACAACCCTTTGCAAAAATGGTTGCATTCTTTGAAAGATGTGTAGCATTACTTCCCAGTTTCAGGGAGAACCCTCCTATGTAATAAATTGTAATAATATATGCACTGAATCATTTCAGAATTCGTGGCATTCCCATAGGAAAATGTAGTATGCTGTTTTGCAAGATTGATTTTCTTCTTGAAATCACTACAGCATGGTGTTGAAAAGAGTGCAATGTTGCTGTCAAAGGGCCCTTCAAACCTTGCAAAACCTTTGTCAATAAACTGGCACATTCATTGAAACATGTGTTTTACATTTGGAAGTGCAGATTCTTGTTTGCAAAGTGTGCAGCATTCCTGCAATGAAGTGTAGCTAGCAAGAACCTACTGTAGATTCCATTGATGATGCAAAAGCATATGTGGTTTCTGTTTTAAAGCAAGTGCAGCACCAACTTTTGCAATATGCCCTTTCAAGGATTACAGCTGTTCTATGGACATATTGTTTTGTTTTGAAAAGGGTGCTATGTTGCTGTCAAAAGGCCTTCAACATGAGGATAGGGGCCAAAAAACAATTATTCTGGATCAAAAACATATTCCGGATCAAGAAAAAATATTCCGGATCAAAAAAACAGTATGGAAAAAACAGGAAGGAAGGAAGGCAGGCAGGAAGGCAGGAAGGAAGGAAGCAGGAAGGAAGGAAGTAAGGAAGGCGTGGCCTTTTTGACTTTTGTCTTTTCGACTTCTTGGCTTCTTGGCTTCTTTGCTTTGGCTTCTGTTGCTTTTGTTTTTTTTTGCCCTGTGTGGTTTCTTAGCAGTATGCTGCAATTATTGTGGAAAACAAAGAGTACACATCAATTCGGACGAAAAAAAGGACAATCATATATAATGAGAATATTCATAATAAAGACACGATGTATGCAAGAATGGAAATCACGGCAACACTTAGATAACATCCAATGGAACTATTTGCACCCAACACAGTTGTGCTTCAACCTACATTCTACCTGTTCACCAAGTGCACGCTGCACGCCAGATACACCCTGAGTTCCATATTCAGTCTACAGCATTACAGTTTTGGGAGAGGTATTGTCATTCTGCTTTGGGGGGGAGGGCGCAGCGCCCTCCCCTCCAATGCCCCCCCCTCCATTTTTTTTTTACTCCGGATTGAAAGTACATGGCTCTGAATATTGAGTTGCGCCATCTATGTCAAAGGGAAAAATACAGGGGATAGATAGCGCAACTCCATTTTCAAACAGGTAGTTCGCGCCATGTATGTCCCTAAAAATGACATATTTTTTGCAATCTTCTGTGCTGGTTTGCACCCATTTTTTTTTCCTCAACATCAAGCTGCCTTTGGGGGATATAGATGGCGCAAGTCCCTCATACCTCCCGACATCCCTCAACCATCCTCAACCGACCTAACCCCCCCTCAAGTATATATGACTTTAGGTAGCACGTAGATACTTTGAGGGAGCATGTGTGCTGCGTAGGTCGCTTAAAAGGTAGCATGTACCTAGTAAATGCGAGGCTGGTGGTCAAAAATGCTGCAAAGACCTAGCAAATACGAAGCTGGACTTCAGAAATGCTTCCAATAGCTTGCAAATAGAAGGGAAGGGGGGGTGCTACCTGGGGACACAACCCATTGGGGGATGGGTGGGTGGAGAGACGGAGGACGCGACCATATATACGATTATATATGTATATATGTATTTATGTATATATGTATATTTGTATATATGTATATATGTATGTATGTATGTCTGTATGTATGTATGTATGTATGGATGCATGCATGCATGCATGTATGTATGTATGTATGCATGATGTATGTATGTATGTAATGTAATGTAATGTAATGTAATGTAATGTAATGTAATGTATGTAATGTATGTAATGTAATGTAATGTAATGTAATGTAATGTAATGTAATGTATGTATGTATATTTATATATATATAGTTTTAAATGAGGGGAGTTTCTTGGCAAATCTGTGTAGCATCCCTCCAAGAAAGTTTAACGTGAGTCTACAGCAGAGTCCATTGATGATGCAGCAATGCACGAGAAGATGGTGGTATTACCTCAGCAAAGTGTGCCACCAATCTATGCGACATGTTTTTCACAAAGTACAGCAATTCTGCAACAAAAGTGTTTTTTTTGAGAGCAGCATTACTCCCAAGTGGTCTTTCAATATGCAAAAACCTCTGTGAACACAGTAGGCCATTCTTTTGAAACATGCTTTTGTTTGTCTAAGAAAACCAAGCAGTATATATAGTGGACCTATGAAATCCAATGCTGTTTTTATACTATAAGAACGTGTTACATTGCAATATCTTTCAGGATTAATCTGGATCAATCCAAAACCGAAACAAAAAGACGCAAAAACCAAAGATTTGGAAACTAGGCCAGAGACCACTGTTTTTTTTTTTTTGGGGGGGTTGTGCAACCATCGAAGCAGACAAAAGGCAGACAAATGCCAATAGTGTAGGCAATTCTTGAGACAATCAAAGCAGACAAAAAACAAAATTGTAGGCAATTTACAAGCTTTAAGCACCCAAAGTGGTTCATCTTCCTTACAAAAGGTTTTGTGCACCCAAAATTTCAGCATATAAATAACATCCAAACAATATCCCCAAACCGCTCACAAGACCCTTTCTTGTTTTTTCAATGCCATTTGTTCTTTTCCCGACAAACCCATATAAACTATTGATATTTATTGATATTTTTTGATATTAATTGATATTTGAAGACCCACCGGATCCGCAAAACACTCGCCAAGATCCAAAACGGCCTGCGTCCACATATCGCCACCAATGCAGTGGAGATGGCAGTTCAAAGAGACTTGGATGGAAATCACCCTTCGGTAGTTAAATGTGGCAATTGAAAAACCTCAAATCGTGGGAACGTCATAGAACAACATGGGGAATCTTCCATTGAAATATATTGAAATTGAGTCTCTCAACCAGATGAGATGTTTGAAGTACTTTCTGAAGGAAACCTAGCAGAGAAGCTTGAAGTGCGATTCTTGACCCATTCTGCAAAAAATCCCAGCAGACGCAAGTTGCACAACAACTTCTTTACGCCGGATGCGAGGTGATGATGAAGAGGACGCGCCAGCGCTGCTTGGAAGTAGACAAGTTTGGTAGGACATGATATTTGATGGGATGATTTCTCGTTGGTGGTTGCAAGGGTTTAAATATATATATATATATAATATCTACAGATTTTCAATTCTTCAACTGGGATGTCATCCAATTGACATTTGAACGCAGGCTGGTTGCTTTTGAGGGATTTTCGTGTATAGTTATAGGAAACTCGCTGTGGACTACTGTATCCCATGCAAAGAAGGCTTTCAAGGTCCGCAGTTTCGATAGTGGCAACGACTTTTGCCGAATATTTTCCGAGACATCGAGGAAGGCTTAGAAGGGCACATTGCAGAATGGAAAGCCTGAATTTCAGCAGCCTGCTATTGAAATTTGTGGAATTCAGTATCCCAGGATGGCCCAGGATCACCCATTTTCGGTTCAGTGCAGTCCCCTGTGGATGGCCAGAAGGTTTATCGCTTGCGGGCCCAAAATGGCTCAACATTCCACAACCTTCCCCGAACTTCACGGCTGAGCACTGCTGCAGCGAATTCATTCTTGCTTGAGTTTTGCTTCTCTAATTATATATATATAAACATATGCATATTGTATTTGTTTATTTGTTTATTCATTTGCTAATCGTAAAAAAAATGTAAATGAATGAATGAATAAATTCACTCTTTCACTCA